TGCTTCACAATAGATTCCTTGAGGACTTGCTCCATGATCTTTCCAGGTATTCAGGTCTAACTAACTGGTCTGTTATTCCATGGTTCCTCCTTCTTCCCTTTCTTAAAGATGGGCACTATATTTGTCCTTTTCCAATCATCTGGGACTTCACCCAATCTCCATGAGTTCTCAAAGCAGATATGGTAAAGGCTCTGAAATTACCTCAGCCAGTGCCTTCAGTACCTTATGGTGCATCCCTTCTAGTCCTGCTGACTTGAAATAATCTAGCTTCTCTAAGTACTCCCTAAGCTGTTCTGTCACTATTTTAAGGCTGTTTGACTCCTTTCCTTTCTGAGCTGCCAACTGCGCTCATCATCTGGTAGCTGCCCCTATTTGTGGAGTCTGAAGAAAAATAGACATTAATTAACATCATCTGTAACTAGATTGTCTTCTGCATTCCACAAGGGACCTACTGTTTCTTGGGTCTTCCTCTTCCTCTTGACATACTTACAGAACCCCTTCTTATTGCATTTTATGGCCCTTGCCAGCTGCATCTCAGATCATACCTTGGCCTTCCTAATTTTCTCTTTGCACGCCTGTGTGATACTCTTTTACGCTTTCCTAGTAATATAAACAAGCTTCCACTCTTTGTAGGTTTTTGCCATTTTTGTAGGAAATGTTCTTTAAAATGTCATTTACACCTACCGTGTCTTAATAACAGTGCATAAAGTGTGAACTTTTAGCAGATTCATTTTGAGTCACCTGGACTTTCTGATAAGCAACTTGATTATCCTGAAACACAAATATGTACATTGGTTTATTCCATGTTCAAATAAAAAACTTAGTCAGATAAAACCTCTGCATAAACTTACTCATGTTTGCAAGATTGCAGCCTTACAGTTCCATTGTAAATATAACCGTGTGGTATAGTAGAACACAATAACAGATGAGCCTGACACCTTCATCAAGCAAACAGCAATACAAAAGCAATGTTTTTTGGTTGTATAGTACCACCTTTTAAAAAATCTTTTCACTAAAAAGTGAAAGTGTTAAATGACTATTTTGAATTCTGTGTGCAGAATCCATTGTTTCTTGCAAAATGTTCAATTAAATAAGGTTTTGATTTTGTTTTATTTTGCTTTTCAACCCAGGAAAATGAAGCTCTGCTGCCCAACCTCTTTTTTATTGGCTTCACTAGGTTTTGTCAACTTTTCCTGTTCAGGTGATTGAGGCACAAGGAAATTAAGTGACTTGTCCGAAGTCACACAGGAAGTGTAGGACTTACCCAGTATTAACACTGACAGATTAGGAGTGAATATTTCAAAATAAGATAGATTTGGCATATTGTAAAAGTAAGGCTTGGACTGCGTCAAGATAAAAATTACCTTTATACATTTCTTTCCCGATCAAGACCAGAACCTTTTATTCTCTCTCTCTCCTTCCAGTAGGCTTTGAAGGTCCCTTACCAGCCAACCTCCTTGCTATTCTGACAGCAAAAGTATGGTCCACAACAGCAAATTATCAGTTGTTTTTTCCTCTGAAAATAGAAGGTAGGAAAAAGCTGAGTATGGCCACCAGCTGCAAGACTATATTTCTATTAAATGGTAGGATTGCGCAAGGCTGCTTCTTGCTCTGCTTTAGGGGGAGGTGGAAAAGCCTACAGCTGGTTGATTTCTTCAGAAGAGAGAGAAAAGCATATAGTATCTATTTGTGAAGGCTCCTCATCTTTATCCAATTTTGTGTCTGAAAATAATTGCACATATGAGAAATCACTGGAACAGCCCAACAGACAGGACAGAAGATCCTCCAGAGTACTGTGGAAGCAGTAGCCTTAGTATTGTTGCAGGACTGGGGAAATCCTGGAAACAACATGGAAAGTTTCTCAGGGCCAAGGGAAGAGTTAAGGCATTGCCCTACATGATGAGGTTAAAATAAATGTCCACACTGAACCCATGCCTATTAAGGAGCCTCAAGATTCTCTATTCTTGCTGTTACGTCCTATCCAGGACCAAACTAAACACAAGGTGATTTAAAAACTTGTTGGTCTTATGTCAAGAAACTGAATTCATTAAAAGTTAAGGTTTACAAACAGCAGCAAACGTAATATAAAAAAAACATATTGGAGTCATTTGTTTCTTCTCTTCAAAGATACCACTTCATGTCAGTGCTTCTGTTTAGATTTTTATTTTAACGTCACAGAACGGAAGCTGATCCCCATTCTGATGTTTTTCCTACAGATCCCTATAGGGGTAAAGATTCCATCTCCCACAACACAGTACTGTTTTTGCATTATACTGCTGTTATTAGGCCTCAGTTCTAATGTCCAGTACAGGCAACTTACTTTGACAAAGTGGGGGAGAAACAGAAGGAATCAGAAACTTGAAAGCACAAATGTCCTCAAGACCCTATAGCTACAGCATTAACTTTGGGAAACTTAAATTCCTGTGATGTTCTCTTAGACTTTAGGAAACCACAAGTCACACATTTGCTGCTTTTAATTACCTCCCTCTCTCTATTTTTAAATTACGTAGTCAAATCCCTGGACAGTACTCTCTTTCCTTCCTATTCAGAAACTTAAAAGTACTAGAAGTGCCCCTTAGCATTCATTCATTTGGACTAAAATAAATCTTGTCCTTGTTCATCATTGAAATCTATTCGTGTATTTCCACTGGGAAATAAATGGAACTCATAAAGAAATAAGCACTAGCCTATTAATTATTTGATCTCCTCAAAGAATATCAAAGATACAAATTTTAGGTTTAACCACTTTTTCCTCTCTATAGCAATCTAATTTGTGTTTAAAGAGAAATAGAATGTATATAATAGTGGGTCTACACGTGGCCGTACAGTGCCTTTGTTATTGTCATCATTTAGTACTTCCTTTTGCAAGTAGGGACACCGTCTCTCACCCCATCCTAATTAATAAACTAGGCGACTGTGGCATAGATGCCTACACAGTCAGATGGATTGCAGATTGGCTGAAGGGTCGCACTCAGAGGGTGGTGGTGGATGGATCATACTCGACTTGGGGGGAGGTGGGTAGTGGAGTCCCCCAGGGCTCGGTCCTGGGGCCTGCGCTGTTCAATTTCTTCATCAGCGATCTTGATGTTGGGGTGGAAAGCAACCTGTTTAAATTCGCTGATGACACCAAAATTTGGGGGGAGGTGAGCACGCTAGCAGGGAGAGAGAGATTGCAGAAGGATCTGGATAGGTTACAGGGGTGGGCAAACAGGAACAGGATGTGTTTCAATACGGACAAGTGCAGGGTGCTGCACTTGGGTAGTAGGAACCAGCAGCACACTTATACGATGGGGAACTCCCTACTTGAGAGCACGGAGGCGGAAAGGGATCTTGGTGTCATTATTGACTCCAAGATGAACATGGGCCGACAATGCGAGGTCATGGTTGGCAGGGCTAACCGGACCTTGTCGTGCATCCACAGGTGCATCTCGAGTAGAGCCAGGGAGGTGATCCTCCCCCTCTATGCGACGCTGGTCAGGCCGCAGCTGGAGTATTGTGTCCAGTTCTGTGCGCCCCATTTCAGGAGGGATGTGGACAACCTGGAGAGGGTCCAGAGGAGGGCCACCCGCATGATCCGGGGACAACAGGGCAGACCCTACAGTGAGAGACTGCGGGACCTGAACCTATTCAGCCTCCACAAGAGAAGGCTGAGGGGGGACCTGGTGACCGTCTATAAACTCACTAGGGGGAACCAGAAGGGTTTGGGGGAGACGCTGTTTCCCCTAGCCCCCGCTGGCATAACAAGGAGTAATGGGCACAAGTTGATGGAGAGGAGGTACAGATTGGACATCCGAAAAAACTACTTCACAGTTAGGGCGGCTAGGAGCTGGAACCAACTTCCAAGGGAGGTGGTGCTGGCCCCTACCCTGGGGATCTTTAAGAAGAGGCTGGATACTTACCTGGCTGGACTCATTTGAGTCCCGTTTTTGTTTTTAGGGTGGTTTTTTTTTGGGTTGTTCTCCCGCCCTGGCGGGGGGTCGGGCTAGAAGATCTATTAGGTCCCTTCCGACCCTGTAACTATGAAACTATGAGTACTAAAAGATGGCGCACTAACAGCCCATACTGAGCCATGCCAACTGCACATGGTTATTTTTGGCCACTACGTCGCTGTAGCAACTGTAACAAGGAAGTGTGTTTCTACGGCGACATCATGGTTTTTGCCAACAGACTCAACAGTACCATAGCGTGTCGCTACAGCACCATAGTGTCTTGTGTAGAAGCACCTAGTGATTCTTATTTTTATCTATGAGGTCACAATAGCATCTTGGAGAAGCTAAATCAACTTGAAGAGGTCTGCCTGAAAATAACAGGAGCAGGAGATGTACAGACATTACTGTAAGAACTTCTTACAGCATGATAGTATCATAACAATTAAAAAAGCAAATTCACCTGCATCCAAAGGACGAACCACATCCTTCTAAACAACAATAGAGGCAAGGGGTGTTTTTATGATATTTTTTTGGACCAACTATAGAGTCCAATGTTAGACAACCCAGTTTAGGGCATAAAAATGCCCATCTTCAGAGCCTTTCCCAGACCTGAAAAAGAGCATGTTGTGTCCAACATCTCTCCCACCTGTATAGTTGGTCCAATAAAACATATCATAAAAACTTTTTGCCTCATGTACATTTCCTGGACCATCATGGCTATAGCAACACTCCAACCCTACTACTTCTAAGCAGCGTCTTCGAATTCATCTTTACTCCAAATTGTCAATCCATTCCCAAGGAATGGTATTTCTACTGTTTTGACTAAGACTAATTATTTCCCCCTGATACTTCAAAACCTTTGTTGAATTTAGACCAAATCTCTGTAATATAAAACATTTAATATAAAACATATGACTTCATTCCTCTAATATAAAGAAGAGCAAGTGAATTTTTTTCTGCTACAAGCTGACACATAAAAAGTCTGACATAGTTTTCTGTGTAGGAAAATCTATTTTAGGAAGTCTAGCAGATACTACTGAAAAAAAATGTGGAATCACTGTTGCATTTCCTGTCATAATGCATCATTTAATTTACTGCACAATTAGACATGGCTACACATATGTTTTGGGATTTACTTCTTGTCTTTGAAGCTTGCAATGCCAGGATGATATGGGAGTATCTAGGAGGTCTGGAATAAAAATTAAAAATTAGAAGAATAATTGTGTGAGTAAAAGATGACATTTCATTGGTACACTAAAAATCACAAAGGCAAAAGTTATGTGAAAGAAATCAGTTAGAAAATCCAGGTGGATTAGGTACTTTTGTTTGTAAATGACAAACAAGATATAGTTATGTACATGCTTCTTATAATGACTACCATTTCCCTCTGAAATTTAGTGGGTCTTGCTCCAGCTTCCAGAGTTGAAGCAGCTCTGAAGCTGAAGAAAATTAAAGATTTAACAATTTGTTACCCCCTGTCGTTCAAAATCTAAACAAATAATAAATCTTTTTTCAATGGGAACTAAGAAAGTCATAAAAACACACACCAGCAGCTTAACAATAGGTAGACAAACATGGCACAAGCCTTTAATAAGTAGGGGAGGATTCCAGAATGGAACCAGAATGGAACCTTATCCTCCTGTTCCTTTCCCTGCCTCCTTCCCTCCCTCCCACACCCTGCATCTTACCTGCAGTAGCTCTAGTTCCAGCTCTGGCAGGGGGAGGGTAGAGTAGCAATGGCAGTGCAAGGTGCATGCATGTACCACCAGCCCACCACATTCATTTCCCACTGAAAATCAGGGTTTAAATGGTCACTCTACTTACATGTCAGTAGAAAATGAAAAAGAGGTGATATCCCCTTGTAGCAGCAAATATTTGGCTGGTGCTCTTGTGCATAAATACACACGCCTTACCCCAAGTTCCACATTTCCTCTCATTGTTTTTAGCTGAGAACATAGGAGTTTAAAACCAGATTGGGAATCATGCATGAATAAAAAATCCTGGTGCCCAGTTTCTTCTGTGTCTTGAGACAAGTGAGAGAAGTTAAATTAAGCTGAGTCTAAACATTTCTTAATAATAAACTGCATCTCATGGTAAGCAATTAAAATACATATTTTCCTATAATAGTCTTACTACTCTAGTTGCCACCAAGACATTATTTGATCATTAACTGGATGGGAAATGCTCTGCACGTGTATAAATATGAAAGAAAGTGGTTCATGAGAATTTCCCTGTGGAGGTATGATTCTTAAGAAGAATCCAATGTTAAAATATACAAAAGCCTGAGGCCCTAACATGTGTGGAATATTCCTACAGGGATTTCCAGGAACAAATATGTAACCTCTAAAGCACTGAGTCCAGGACAGCTTCTTCCCAGCTCTCAATCACTAATAATACCCTGATGCTGAAAGAGGACAAGATTTAACCCATCAAGCTTTACCCAAAGTCATTTTCATTTTGCAGGTTATAAAATCTCAATTTATGGGAGACAGGATATCAACCTACTGAAATATATTTGTGAACCTTTTCCCTTTAACCAAATATCAAAGAATAAAAGATCAAAGAATGCAGTTCAGCAGTGCATCCCAGTACAGTTCTAAATAGGAACGTTCCATATAGTGCATGCAGAAGGCCAACTTAGGGAAATGACACAAGAGATTATCAAAGCACCGGAAGAGCCAAATTTTGCACATGATCAGGGCTCTGCAGACATGACAGCCAAGAGTCACAATTCTGAAGACACGTGGCGTAAATCTGCTGTTTAGCGCTACATTTTTTTAAAATTAAAAGAGATAATTCAGTAATTTGCATCCATCTCTGTAGTGTCAGCATAACCCAGCGTGCTAGAGCAGTATCAGTTATTTTCAACGCCAATAAATACAAGGTTCTCCACCTTGGGGAAAAAAAACCCGCAGCATCCTTATAGGCTCGGCAGTGCTATGTTGGCTAGCACTATGGAAGAAAGAGACTTGGGGGTCATCATTGACCACAAGATGAACATGAGCCTGCAATGCGATGCGGCGGCTAGTAAAGCGACCAAAACGCTGGCTTGCATCCATAGATGCTTCTCATGCAAATCCCGGGACGTCATTCTCCCCCTGTACTCGGCCTTAGTGAGGCCGCAGCTGGAGTACTGTGTCCAGTTTTGGGCTCCACAATTCAAAAGGGATGTGGAGAAGCTTGAGAGAGTCCAGAGAAGAGCCATGCGCATGATCAGAGGTCAGGGAAGCAGACCCAACGATGACAGGCTGAGAACCCTGGGGCTCTTTAGCCTGAAAAAGCGCAGGCTCAGGGGTGATCTGATAGCCACCTACAAGTTTATCAGGGGTGACCACCAGCATCTGGGGGAACGTTTGTTCACCAGAGCGCCCTGAGGGATGACGAGGTCGAATGGTCACAAACTACTTCAAGATCGTTTCAGGCTGGACATAAGGAAGAATTTCTTTACTGTCTGAGCCCCCAAGGTCTGGAACAGCCTGCCACCGGAGGTGGTTCAAGCGCCTTCATTGAACACCTTCAAGATGAAACTGGATGCTTATCTTGCTGGGATCCCATGACCCCAGCTGACTTCCTGCCCTTTGGGCGGGGGGCTGGACTCGATGATCTTTCGAGGTCCCTTCCAGCCCTGATGTCTATGAAATCTATGAAATTTCTCAGTAGATTTTCTCTTATTAAACAAATATATTGTATGACTGCATATGGTGGTGGAATAGTTAAGAGATTGCCATATGGCTCCAGAACTGTGAGTTCAAGTCTTGTTTTGGACTTAAGCCAAATGCCACCTCACGTCGTTGGGCACCTGGTTATCTGGAGCCAGAGATAGCTAGACATGAATGCTAACCAAACCATGCCTTTGTGGTGCCACTAGCCATAGAAGATAGCATGTGTTAACCACACTTCATGGGCTTTGTAGACTAAGGCACTGTACTGTAGCAATTATACTGAAATAAGAGACAAAAAAAAAGATCCATGTATAATAACCTTAAAAAGCCACCAGCTCAAGTTATCCTCTTATTAGGTCAGAAATGCCATTTCTAATAATTTTTTTGTGTTTATTCTTCATTTTCTCCTTAAGCATGTGAAATTAAGACGCCTTAGTTTAGCTCCTTCTTATATTCCCCCCCTACCAGATGGTGGTGTTACTATATCTTTGATAATACATTAAATGTACCTTGGAGACATAAAATATCATTGTAAATGTCATATATGAACAATATTACTTGCTAAACGTGTTTCAATGGGTGTATATGGGCTAGAGTACATTTCCTACTTGGCCATAATTCTACAGCGGACTAAATATTAAATCTGGACTACCCACTTATAAAATGTACAGAATGGGCTAATGATATTTTTGTATAAATTAGGCAAGTGAAGGGTAGTGTTGAAACATCCAAATATTTCTCAATAATTATTACTCATCACTTTATTAACCCTTATTAAAAGTAGTTCAAATGTGCCAAACATTTAGGGAAACCTAAGCTATAAGAGGCATTATCCATCATGAGTGCCAATTATTAATTTTAAAAGATCATTCAGAATTTGCATCCATCTCAGAATGCAGTGTCAGCATACCTCGACATGCTGGTGCAGTATCAGTTATTGTGCAGTAGATTTTCTTTTATCAAACAAATATATTGTATGACTGGATATGGTGGTGGAGCAGTTAAGAGACTACCAACAGGAACATCATAAATTTCTGTTACAAAAATCTTTCTAATATTCCCCTACACCTCTCCAAGACAGCTGTAGAACCAGAAATTCAAGAAGAGGTTCTTGAAACAGTGGAAGAGGAAATGCACGGTGCTCTACCCAGTGTGGCCTGAAAGAGTACAAAACAGCCCCTTTGACCAGAGAGATCTTAAGTGAATTAATCTCAGAAATCAGAGCTTTAAAATCCTTTATGGAGGCACAATTTTATAAAATCAGAGAAGAGAAAAAGAAATTGGGGTAGGGTCACAGACCTGGAGATAAAGGTGGAAGGAAACCTTCAATCAGCAATACATCTGCAAAATAAAATGAACCTGATTGAAAAAAAGAAAAAGATGGTTTAAGAGAAAACTAAGACTGTAGAAAATCAAGAGATAAGAAATAGTGCAAGAATAAGACAATTCCTAGAAGATATGGAGAAGGGAGAGCCAGCAGAATATTTAAAGAAGGTATCTATTCCACTCCTTCACACAACTTAAAACAAAGGAATGGCAACAGTCCTCATGGATAAAGCTATCTACACTCCTCTCTCTCTCTCCTTCCCCACCAAAACCAACTAAGACACATGATACTATAATTTTCTGTTTCAAACAGAAGTAGCAGATTCAGAAGAAGGTTAAGAGACTTCTGATGCTATTCTAGAAGAACATAAAATACAAGTGTTTCAAGATTCATCACAGACATCATTTAGGAGAAGCAAGGAAGTTAGTGAAATTACAGCATCTCCCAGAGAAACAAGTATAAGATATGGATGGTGTTTTCCTTTTAAATGTATCTTTACACAACAAAAACAGCAGTGCATTATGAAAAAGAAAAAAAAAGGAGATCTTAAAATATTTGAGCAACTAACTTTAATGGAAAGCACCATGGAATCTCAGCTCAATAATGACACAGAGAGGCATCATAAAACTGAACGGAAAACTATTAAATCCAAGAAAAAGATGATGCCAAAGTACAAGGACAGGGAGATTGGGAGAAATTACAAAACTAGGGGTATTCAAGAGGATTTGATTGGGTATGAGGGAGATGAAAAGGAAAATGGAAGAGGGAATATCACATGGGGGAGAAAAGATTTTAAAAAGTAGTATTTGGATCCAATATAATCAGGAAATCAGGGAAGTAAAAACATTCTAGCTAAGGGACAGAAGTTACACACAAGCCACTTTCAGTGATCAGAAACTGGTTTAAACCTGTAACAGAACAGAAGTTTAGCAAACAGAAGCTGCTTTCAAAGTCTAGGGACATATATTCAAAAAGTCTAAGCTTGAATTGATTTAATCTTTACAGGTTAGTCTAACCTGGCTAGGCTGAACCAGTTTGTAACCGTTCAGACATTCCCTCTGGACTGAAAAAAATTCAGACACATGCCTGCAGTGGCTCAGGGTAGAAACTGGGGGGCACTAGAGCAGCCCTCCCTGCCCTTCCAGGGCTGAGCTGCAGGGAGGGGCCCAGGCAGGACACTCTGATGTGCCCCCTCCCTCCCCCTGAGCAACCCAGATAGGTTTATCACCATTAACTCGGTGTTTATCAACCTATTAAGAAAACAAAGCCTCTGTTAGTTCAAGCTCTTCTTAAACAGGTTTTCCAAGGAAGGACATTACCAGCTACCTGTTGATTAGCTCCAAAAAGCCTTTGTCATCTCCCACAGCACGGACTGTAGCCAGCATGAGATCTGCTAGCTAATGCTGAGAGGTGTAAGGCAAAGGGGCAGAAGGAATAATCCCTGTTTAGCAGGGAGAAACCAGGCAGATGCCTGCAGTCTGTGCTGGAGCTCCGGTGAGGGAACAGAGGGGAGGCGGGGATTCCTGCTTAGCAGGGAGTGGTGGGGGCAGAACAGCCTGCAGTCTCTGCCAGAGCTGCAGCCAGGGAGCAGAGGGGAGGGGCCAGCCCTGCTGTGGAACAAAGAGCCCCGCCCAGCTCAGAGAGCATGCTGGGATGCTGGGGGGGAGGTTATCTTAAACCAGCAAGGGGTCTGGGACAGACATTGCATAAACCGGTTTGATCCAAATCAGTTAAGTGTGATACTACATTCAACCAGGTTTATCCCAAACCAGTTTCAGCTATTTTCAAACTGGTTTATGTGCTCTGAACATCTATTCTGTTACAGGTTTAAACCAGTTTCTGATCACCTAAACTGATTTCTGTGTAATGTCAGTCTCTAGCCAAAATGACCAAAACCAGTTTACAAAAAGTCTGATACTGCATCCAATCAGGTTTAACTGATTTAGGTCAAACCCATTTATGGAACCTCTGCCCTAGATCCCTTCCAGGTTCAAGTTCACTCACAGTCCTCCAGCATCCCAGGATGCTTTGCAG